CCAGCCTGTCTCAGAGATCCCTCCCTGTCTCAAGTGTTGTGGTCCCCAGCACAACCCCAGGAGGCAGGCACCGTTCCCATTCTATCACACCTCAGAGGGACCTGAAACCACACAGCTGACCTGGGGTGCCAAGACCCAGCGCTGGTGAGGGGGGCTTGGGATGTCAACCAGCTCAGGAGCGCCCACTGCTGGCCAGGCATCTAGAATGGTCACGGATTTTTCTAAAAAGGAGATTTAATTAGTGGTGTAACTAAAGGCTTCTTGCCCTCGACCCTGGCTCATACCCAGGGGTTTGTGTCCTTGTCCAGTTCTGTGTCATCAATGCAAGGGCACTCACCAGGGTGCCTCTAGTCCTGCCATGCTGCACAGGGTCTCTAGTCAAACAGCCCTCTGCTCTTCCCAGTTTTCTTTGCTCTCCCTGGAATACGTGTCCCACCGTTGACTATTCCCATTGTCTGACTCTAAGCACCATTTTCTCTGTAAAGCCATTTTTGGGCCCATTGCACCTTCCTTCACAGCCCACCCTTTAGAATGGACACAAAACCAAGTGAGGCACTCGCACTTGGCATTACCTGTGTGTTTCTCTCTGCCGTGCTCTCCAGGGTAGAACTGTGCCCTTTAGTCATGTATTTCCAACTGGATACCTTGTAGACACTCAGTAGGTGATTACTGGGGGAATGAATGAATTCACCCACCAGAGCTGCTCAGTGACCGTTGAGGATGCTACTGCTCAGATACAAGAAAAATGGAAGAAAATCTGCATCCTGCGTTATTACAACCTTTGCAAATGTTTAGTCTATTAGCATGATAGTTTACACGAATAGACTAAATTATAATTGTAATGTTGCCAGAGGAGGTATCAACTTCAGCAGTTATTGTTACTTACCTCTGTTGTATGCAACTAGGAAGATATAGTCCCTGCTCTCCTCTGACCCAAGTATTGTGAACTGCTTGGAGACTTCATGTTTAAAAGACAGAGAGTTTAAGCCGAGCAAAATTAAGTAAGTGTAATACTAGGATTGTGTGTGATTCAGTTTGTAAGGTCCTCATGTAGTGTTGGGGGTTAGATGATATTTTCCCTTTTCCATGGAATTAAAATTTTGTTGCTTTTAGTGAGTTTTCCAACTTATATTGTAATTTGGGCTGTTTAAGAAGTCAAGATCTTAGGCTGGGTGTGGTGGCTCATGCCTGTAATCCTAGCACTTTGGAGGCCAAGGCGGGCAGATCACCTGAGGTCGCGAGTTCAAGACCAGCGTGACCAACATGGAGAAACCCCGTCTTTAAAAATAAAAATAAATAAATAAAAACTAAAAAAAAAAAAAAAAGAAGTCAAGATCTTCCACTTTAGTGAGATTCATCGACAAGCTTTATATTCTGAAGGTTGACTAGGACAGACTCAGGCTTGGGCCAAAGCTTAGGGCAGGGAAGTTTGGGAGGGAAGAGCATATTTGCATGTCCTACTGATGGCATTAGCTGGAAAGGACAGTGGTATTGCTTTGTGCTCTGAATGCATGGTGCACGTCACCAGTGAAGGACAGGCAGACATCCTGAGTCCAAGATGTGACACCTGAGAGGGCCTCCAGTGAGGGATGCGTCACTGTCATCTAATCATGCAGAAACAGCAGACATAGCCCAATATGGTTTGGCTGTGTTCACACCCAAATCTCATCTTGAATTTAGCTTCCATAATCCCCACATGTCTTGGGAGGGGCCTGGTAGGAGGTAAGTGTATCATGGGGATGGGTTTTTCCCATGCTGTGCTTGTGATGGTGAGTAGGTCTCATGAGATCTGATGGTTGCATAAAGGACAGTTCTCTTGCACACATTCTCTTGCCTGCCACCATGTAAGATGTGCCTTTGCTCCTCCTTTACCTTCCACCATGATTGTGAGGCCTCCCCAGACATGTGGAAATGTGAGTTCATGAAACCCCTTTTTCTTCATAAATTACCCAGTTTCTGGTGTTTCTCCATAGCTGTATAAAAATGGACTAACACATAGCCAACTCTAGATCTTTCTATAAAACAATGCAAGACAGGCCTCTATTCTTCAAAGATGACAAGATCATAAGAGACAAAGTCTGAGGAGCTGTTCTAGGTGAAAGGAGACTTAGGAGGCCTGGCATCTAAATGTGATTTGAATCCTGAACAGATCTTTTCTTGAGTGAAAAATGCTATAAAGCACATTTTTGGAGCAATTACAAAATTGAAATATGGATGGTAGGATAGATGAAAACACTGCATCAGGGGAATATCCTGAATTTGGTAATTGTCTGTGATCATGTAAGGGATGACGTTTCTGTTGTCAGGAAACACTCCCTGAAGTATTAAACAGATCACTTGTCTTCAGTATTAAGTACTAAAGTACTAAGAGGCAAAGGTGCATGATGTAAGACACCTTCTCCCAAATAGTTCAGAAAAAATACATATTTAAAAAGATCCTGGCCTGCAGAATCTGTCTCTATCAATGCCTTGCCATTTCTTGTCTGAAGACTGCCAGATTTTCAATTCTTCTTTCCCTACTTTCTTTCCATCCTCCTGCTCAATTTGTCAAATCAGCAGAGATTTACTGAGCAACTGTTATGCGTGCTTAATTGAACACACACACATATTGAGAGCTGACTCTGTTTAGCACTGTGGTTAGCTATGTCCAGGTGTCATAGGAACACTCCAAAGAGACCTGGGCTTGAGCTGGGGTTTGGAGGATGAGCCATCAAAAGAAGGTGAGGAAGGGGATTCCAGGTGGAAGGGAGCTGTGGGGGCACAGGTATGGTGCAGGGAAGGATGCTTGAACTAGGAAGGCAGGTGGGTCTTGGAGCATGAAAGCCACTTTGCCAGGCTCAGGAGTTTGGATGTCCTCCCAAGGCTGTGGCTACCTCCTTCGGGATTTGAACGGTGGGATATCATCAGTTGTGCTGGCATTATTCACCTGTTCAGTTAACAAATATTTACTTGGTATCTGCAATGTGCCAGGCATGGTTCTAGGCTCTGGGAATTCGTTAATGGAGAAAAAACCCAACATCCTTGCCTTGGGTGGCCTCTAAACTTCTGCTGGTAAAAGAAAAACACAACAAACATCATCAATCAGTTGTCTATGGATTACATATGCTGCTGTGGGTAAAGTGTGAAGGGCAAGGGAAGTGACCGGGCATCCCTCTTGGGAGTGACAGGGCAGAGGGACTGTTGAGCCACGACTTCACAGGAGTCTGACTCTGTGCTGCCCCTGATTTCATGGAAATGAGGTATTTGCAAAAACTCACGTTTCCTACGTGTGCTTGGATAGGTATGAGGTGAGAAATAAATAGGTGTAATGACAAGGTGTCCCCTGTTCACCCAGTCATCCTGCAGCATCCAAAGTTGCTTTTGTTCCAGGTGACTTTCCAGGTCAGGATGGGGGCCCTGCGTTTGTGTCTCATTGCAGTGCCCAGGGTGGTGGGAGTGGGTCACACCATGGGTGGTTCTTGTTTGTGCTGTGTTCTGTGTCACAACTGCTTCTGTGCCCTCGTTACTAGGGTGGGTCATGTACGCTTGTCATTGTCCTTTGAGTACTATTCCAGAGATAACAGGACACACAGACACACACACACAAATGCACACACAGTGTCTATCTTAGAGGCCAAAGATATGGAAAATGTGTCTCAACAACCAGAGTTCAGGGAAGCTGAAAAGAATCAACTAGACTTTCAGAATCCCAATCCCCAGCCAAAATACAAGCACCATATACCATTTTCTGTTTTCATGACCTGCTAAGATCTCATTTCTTCCACTTAAGAACTTAATTTCAACCCCTTAAGGAAAACCCCTTAAAATAGGCAGAAACATTTTGTGTGGTCGCATGTACAAAGTTGGAGGGCTATTTTCATATCTTAATTTCCACAAAGACAAAAAAACCTGGTAGTTTGCATCATATGCCATATATTAATGGTACGAAGCAGGTGTTTTTAGTTTGACATTTCTTATGTGACATAGAGAGCTCGGGAGAAATACCTATTTATATACTTCAGCCTCCATTCACTTCCAAATACTTGAGAAAAGATCAAAAAAAAGAAAACCTAAAAAAGACAGTATTATAAAGATAGTTCATGGGATAGAATTGGAATGGTGCTAAGGGAATTGCAGGCAGTCCTGACTTAGCTCGACTTAGGATTTTTGACTGTGTGATGGTGCGAAAGCCTCACGCATTCAGTAGAAAGCTGTAGGCTACTCTCTTGGGACACCGGGCAGTGACGGCCACAGCTCCCTGCCAGCCCCGTGCCCTCTGCGGTAGACGGCGATGCCAGATGAGCTTTGCCGCCTCCAGGCCAATGCAAATGTTCTGAGCAGGTTTCAGGTACGGCTGCACTGCGGTGTGCAGTCGGCTATGTGTATTAAATGCATTTTCCACTGAAGACACTTTCACCTTGGACGCGTTCATCAGGATGTGACGACATCCTCATCTGAGGAGCAGGTATCTGCATATCATCTCACTTTGTGTTCTAGTTGTGCTTTGTTGTTATTGTTTGCAGGTTAAAAAACGTGAGTTCTCCTTTATTGCAACCCCAAAGGAATCCGCTGCATGGCTAATTTTCATCACAGATCCTTTCATCCTGCTCAGAGGCTCCAGCAGGAATGGCTTTTTGATGCTCGTTGAATAGCAGTTTCCATTCGGCTTTAAAGAGCATCTCCAAAAAACCAGAGGCGCCTCTTTGCAGTACTTGTTCCCTAAAACAAGCCCTTCTTTGGTCAGGTCTTAGGAAGGCCACCTACAGTTAGGAAGTGGATTGATCTCTGCCTGCCAAGGTCCTGGGAGGGAGGGAGAGAATTATGTTTGCTGCTTTTCAGCGGGGAATACAAGTGACAGAGTAGAGGAGGCTGCTTTGGAGTGAGGCTTCTTGGCGGTGCCTGTGGCTCCTCCTGCTCTTTCTCGGAGGGGCCCGTGTCTTCCCGGCCACAGAGAGAGCCTGGTCGGACTCCTTGAATCCCACTCTTCCTAATGGACTTTCTCTTCTTCATTTGTCCTGTAGGTGGATGCCAAAGGAAAAGAACCTCGTAAATATGATGGCATACCCCCTAAAACACAGGATTCTGTTTACCATGCCAAGGAAGAAAAGAAGAAAACATTGGTAGAGCCTTTAGTCGAAAGGGGAGCAGGTGACTTGCAATTTCTTCTACTTTAGGCAGTTCGAAATGTTACCAGCCTAAGAATGTGGGATTTTTTTTTTTTCAGAAAAAGTTTATACTCAAGAAATATTGTTTGACTTGTAACTATCTGCTTTATTAATAAAATGTTCAGCTTGTAGGTAGGTCAGTTGTGGGCAGAGCAGAAAAACAAAATTTCACTGCTGAAGGCAATGGGATTCCCTAAGTAGGGGCCTCCAAGATAAACACAGTGTTTCAAATCAGTTTCCATCAGGACTGAGAATCTTCCCCCTGAGGACTGATGACATAGACAGCCACACACAAATCTATCTTTTGGGAGAAATATGAAGACAGAAACCACCTAGATTGTTTAGCTGTACTTTTTGAGTATAGGAGATATTTAAAAGATGGATCTTCAGAGCTAGATTCCAAATGAGGTAATATGGAAAGTGCTCTTAGGTCTATTTGCTACCACTCTGCTACCATTACTAACACTCACTGAGCTCCTACTGGGTGCCCAGCTCTGAGTAGGCACTTTCAGGTCCTGTCTCATTTATGCGTATATAGGATACTTAGTAAGAGACTGAGTCATGCGGCTGGTTATGGACGAGGAACCAAGGTGGTCGGAGAGGCTTTCCTGCCCGTCTCTGCAGTGGCTGAACGTTTTTGGAAGTGGTTTTTCCTAAATACCCTTCCTCCCATCTTGGCTTCTTCTTTTCATTTATTTTGAGATGGTATCTTGTTCTGTTGCCCAGACAGGAGTGCAGTGGCGTGATCTCAGCTCACTGTGACCTCCAGCTCCCCGGTTCAAGTGATTTTTGTGCCTCAGCCTCCCAAGTAGCTGGGACTACAGGCACCTGCCACCACACCCAGCTATTTTTTTGTATTTTTAGTAGAGACAGGGTTTTGCCATGTTGTCCAGGCTGGTCTTGAACTCCTGATCTCAAGTGATCTGCCTGCCTCAGCCTCCCAAAACGCTGGGATGACAGGTGTAAGCGACTGCACTCAGCCCACTTTGGCTTCTGTTACCTTCTGACACCTCTCAGGTTTTCTCTGCTTCGCACCCTCATGACCTCTTAGCTCCTTCTGTTGCTCCTCTCTCTACTTCTCAGCTATAAACCTGGATATCCCCTAAAGATTCCTATGGCTGCTTTCCCCTCCTGGCCCTTCCCACTCCACAATGAATGCCTGGGCCATGGGGAGGCGAGGCAGGTGCATGAGTCCATAGGTTGGAGAGTGGCCTACGTGCTCATACATGTAGGGTTAGGGTTACGGTTAGGGTTATGGGGTTATGAGGCAACGAAGCAGGTGTGTGAGCATGTAGGCAGGAGATTGGACAGGCGGCTCTTCGACCAAAGCCTGCGGAACCCACTCCACTTGACATATTACTATATATCAAGCGTAATAGAAAATTTGGTTATTGTATATAAAATCTATTCCTTGGCAATGTACATCCCACCCAAGCAGCAGGGGCTGCCCGGCACACAGGCCTTCCATCTGCAAGGCAGCCTGGTGCTAGGATGTGGCCATGGATCCCAGCTGTGGCCCTCACAGAGCATGTAACTGTGGGCCAACTCCTTATTGAACATAAGCATAATAAGTTTGTTTGGGGATGGCCATGAACTTTAAATATCAAATGCCTGGGACACAGTGGGCTCCCAATGAATGTCACTTCCCTGCCCCTTCTCACCTTCTAGTCTGTTACCCACAAGAGTAGGGGCTCCTCTGGCTCAATTCAGGACTCTAGGGTCAGTTCTCCTGGGGCTGAGGGCTGGGAAGGGGGAGAAGGGCGAGAATGGGCCAGGTGAGGCTGAGGCAGGCCCAGGACTCATGGCTGAGAAATGAACGAGTCTGCATCAGAGTTTCTGGTTTTGGATGATCGTGCTTGCCAGTGGCCGCAGTAACATCTTTTCGGATGTTGAAGGAACCGGCTGGCTGACTTCTTTTTCTTCTGCTCTCACCTATTGCTTCTATTAAGGTGAGAATCAACTTTTCAAGAATCTTGGAATTTTATAAGCATTTAATGCATCTGATTGTGATGCGATTAAAATGATTTCTAGCAATCCATTAAGTTAACTACCTCATAGTATACAGCTTTAGCACCTGGTTGTTTGAACCCTGTTGTTAAATAAGAAGCAATGAAGCTGCTCTCTTCTGCTTCTCCTTTTTCTCCTCCTCCTCCTACTCTTCCTCCTCTTCTTCCTCCTCCTCCTCTTCTCCTCCTCTTTCCCTCCTCCTCCTCCTCTTCCCCTCCTTCTTCTCTCTCTCTCTCTCTCTCTTTCTTGCTTTCAGACGGAGTTTCACTCTTGTCCCCCAGGCTGCAGTACAATGGTGTGATCTCGGCTCATTGCAGCCTCCGCCTCCCAGGTTCAAGCAGTTCTCCTGCCTCAGCCTCCTGAGTAGCTGGGATTACAGTCACCTGCCACCATGTCTGGCTAGTTTTTGTATTTTTAATAGAGATGTGGTTTCATCATTTTGACTAGGCTGGTCTCGAACTCCTGACCCCAGGTGATCCATCCACCTCCACCTCCCAAAGCGTTGGGATTACAGGCGTGAGCCACTGTGCCCATCCAAAGCTGCATTTTCTTAAAATTTATCCTATTACTTTGCTGTCCAGTGGGGTTACTTTGCGTGTATTTATTTCTAACTGAATTAACTGGACACAGGCTTATTGGACAGAGGTCTTCCCTGTATTTCATCTCGTGGACTGACTACAGTGTCAGTGGCCACAGCAGTGCCATGACTTTCAGGGTCCAGGGCCTTCATAGAGACAGAGACAAAAGCAGATGGGGCTAAAATGATGAGTACCTCGGCAGATGCAAACAGCAAGGGCGAGATGGAAACGGGGTGAGGCGGACAGGGTCTGGGACCCCTGGCCAGGTGGCCTGCCTGGCAACGCAGGAAGCTCCAGGATGCCTGGCTTTGTAACTTGGGTTTGGGTCAGAAAATGTGCAGTGGACTCGTTTCTCCATGGGTTTGGAAAGTTTGTGTGATTTTTCCCCAGAAGGTGATGTGTATAAAGCACCAACTCCTAGCAAGGAAACCCAAGGAGCGCTGGAGGTCAAAGAGGACGGCCACGTGCAGCTGGAGGTGCCTGTGGACCAGGTGGGTGTCGGGGACCGAGGTCCTTGGGGTCTTTACTCCCTTCTGTTCAGCTCCTGCCTGCCTCAGCATCCTCCTTAACCCTCTCCCTGCAAATTCTCTCTGGACTCTAGAATGTTCTGCACTCCTCCTAGAGACTGCTCATCTCATATCCTGTGTCAAGCATTCTCCTGTGTGCCCACCTCCCCGACAGGTTCTGCTGGAGAGGCCCCTTTTAACACTTCACTGTGTGTGGCCGCAAATTTGGCTTCATCATTATTTGATGCTTGTGTCTGTCCCTCACTAACCTCCTAACCCCGTAAGGAAAGGGGCTGGCTGCCTCGCTCACCACTGGGTCCTGTACTTTCCAGAGCTCCTGGCATGGAGGAGGCCTTCATAGTTTTTGTGGAGTGATGACTGAATAATGGAAGAAACATTGTGATCCGATGGCATGGGGGTGAAGCCTCGAGCCTCTGTTTCCGTATCCACAGATAGGGATGCTGTCTCTGTACAGGTCTCTGTGTGGCCTGCGTGTGCAGCCAGCGCTGGTGCGTGGTGGATTGCTGGGGCACCGTTCCCTTCTCCTGGCCGCAGGGAGGAGCGGGGAGCAGGGTTCTGAGAAGGGATGCGGTCAGGCCGGGGTTCCAGCCCAGCTCTGCACCTGGGTGAGTCTCCAGTACTCAGGCAGACGGCAGATTGTGCTCGATGATCTCCCGAGACGCACGGCCTTGTCTTCACCTCCCACCTGAAGGCAAAACAAGCACATTTCCAATTCTTAGTTTTTGAGCGAAGAATATGTATTCTCTAAAAGGTCAGTGCTAGCATTAGAGTTCCATTTTTATTCCTCTGAAGTAGATGGGGCTCCACCCCTGCTCCTGTAAGCATAACGCAGCGACGCCCAGTATACAGGGAGCTTTCCCACCCCTCTCTCCGGGGTGGATCACTCTTACCTTGGCACTTTGTTTTTTAACTTCTGCTGTATTTCTTATTTTCGGGGACACATTTGAAAAATGTTACGGACCTCATCTCAGTACTCTAGCTTCCCACTTCAGCTTCTGGCATTTTGAGTACCTTTCCTGTGAGTCCTGTCGTATTTTCTAAATTCCTAGTAGTATTATTTTCTCTTTTCCTCGACATGACAAAAATGACTAAAATATTTGACTTTTGAAAACGCAAACTAACAGTTAAAGTATTTCGTATTGCCCACTTAAGAGTTTTCTAGTGTTGGGGAAACTAGGACGTTGTACACTGCCGTATGCCAAATGTACCCTTGTCACTAGAACATTGCTGGGGCTCTCCGGGTTGCAGACTGAGTGTGTCCAACACGAGTTTTCAGCACTGGCGGAATCCTAGGATGGCAGGCACTGCTGTCATAACTGCTCGCGTATAATAAACATGTCCACAAGTTCTGCTGGCCGGAGATTTTGATTTCCTTGTATTTGAGGTTGTGGAGTGAATTCGGTTACCCCACACTCATGTGACATGGGAGGACGGAAGAGGGCCGGCAGGTCCCTGGGACGCTCCACCACCAGCCAGGAGAAGTAGGGGCTTCCAGGAAGAGTTTTCCGTGTAGCAGTTCTCCATACCAGGTGGGGCAAAGTCTCAGTGAACGGAACTTTCTTGCTGTCAAGTTCTGTGGCTTTAAGCGACACAGAAACAGACTTTCAGTCATGATGCTGTCTGTGGACATGAAGACCTCCTGAGAGTGAGCTGGGTCACCCGTCCTCCCTCTGCATCCTCCGTGCGTGGCGTGTGTCAGAACGGGAGCAGGAAGAGCTGCTGTCAGCTGGGATGCTGGGGATAGCTGAGTGCTGGGAGGACCTTTCCTGCACAGCACACCTTGGTGGGGGCAGCAGGGGAGATGATGACTTAGCTTATCTCTCACTCATCAGGTCCTGACATGCAGCAGATGTTCCAAAAAGGTTTATGAAATCTGACAGAAATTGATACGAGAAAATCCCATGCGCTTGATCAACAGAGGCAAAGCATGAAGCTCAGGCCGTGTAGACAGAGCGGTGTTGCCCAAACTGCGTTCTGCATCTTTGAAGGAGGTCCCTGTGGAAAGCACACATGGGAAGCGTCCCTCTCATCTCTCTCCTTGGAATCATGGTGCACATTAGTGTAGTGATTGTTTCTGAGAAATCCTGGAGTCAAAAATTGTATATGAGCTTTTGGGGAATCCTAATTATTTGCCCATGAATCTTTTCTTGCTGGGACTCTTGTGACACACAGTTTAGGCCCCGTCTGTGTGCTGTCGTCCAAGGACCTCCTTCCTTCCTGTGGAGCAGGAACATAGGATATGGTTCCTGCAGACCCTCTGTTGCTGGGGCGGTCGTGGCCTGGGTGGGTGGCCGCGTCCGAGCCGTCCCTGCCTGGACAGCTGTGCACAAAGGTGGCTGCCTGGCTGCCCGGCCCCACTCTGGCCCTGTGCTGCACGTGGGGCAGGCTCTTGGCTCTGAGTCAGGGTGACTGGCATCCCCATGGACACAGGGAAGGTGCATATATCCGTGCCGTCAGAGCTTTCCAGGCCATTAATGAAGGACAGTTTGGCCCTGATAGTATGCTTTATGGCGCTGACTTCTTTAGTAACCTGGAATACTGTCTCTTGTTTTTGAGTAATTAGTTTTAATTTTGTGGGCTAGCCTGAGCACCTCACACGCTGTCTCCTGTGTCTGCAGTACTTTGCTTTCTCCAGTGTCGTGCTGCTATAAAGATAAAATATCACCAAATGTCACATCCCGACTAGTGCATGTATGAATTTGGAGTCAAGCCTTCTAGATTGAAGAAGGGAACCTCGAGAATGCAGAGTCCTCTAAATTCCAGGCCGTAGCTTCGTGGTCGGCAACACTAACTGCACAGCACCTGAGCATTCCTGGAGAGAACATCGATGTGGGAGGACACTTCGGTTTTCCTGTGGCAACTTCGGTATCTGTCACTAAACTCTCATTGTTGGGTTTGGATACATGAAGGATGTCGTCCATCCTTGGCCCCTGCAGAGGGAGGGGCGTCATATTATCTTTATGATTTCTGATGATAAGTAAGACTTTGACTCCGCAGCCCCCTTTCCTGACACCTGTCCTTTATTCCAGTGTCTAGGAACTTCTCCCAGTACTTGTAAGTCATTTCTGGAACATCTCATAGCTGTGCAGGGAGGACAGAGTGGAGCCTGGCCTCACTGAGTGTGGGCAAGGAGGGTCGGAGGCTCAGCTGGGAAGCCTGGTCGCTGGTGGTGTTGGGTGTTGGTCGTCCTGACAGTGCAAGATGACTGTTCATTGTGTATTTTGACCTGTACTTGGATTTCTAGAATGTTCTCATTTTTCTTGACCGGCCTTCAATTGTTTTTTAATTTATTTACTCCCAGAGCAACACATACTTTTAATCACACCAGTCACTTTTCTGTCCACCAGCTTCTGTTACTCGGGTGTCTATGAACCGAGACCCAAGGGATTTCTGCAGAGCCCGTGGCTTACCTGCAGGTATTGGGAGGTTCACACCGGCGTCCCAGGGCTCCTGGCTGTTTGGAAAGCTCATCTTGTAGCACAGACTTGACACGGAGACCCTCAAAGAATTCTGTGAATGCGCATCTGTGGCTCATGAGAGGATCAAGATTGGGGTTCTGCGTTAGGGAAGTGGTACCTTGAGTCAATCAGTGAGCTCAGTTACCTGGGTCATAGAGTGGGGAAGCTTCAGCATCACGGAAACTCATTTGTCCTGAACCAAGTGCTTGTGAAGAGGACAGAAGGCTTAGCTTGTGGGAGCTGGAATGGGAGCAAGAGGCAGAGGGTGGGTGGGGGGGGCGGTGGAATCTCTGGGGCGTGGCCGGCTGTCAGAGAGAGGGCGATTCGCTGGTGGTGTGTCTTGGATAATCGCCAATCTTTAACAACACTTTTTTCCCGTCCTGGGATGCATTCCTTCCTTTCTTGGGTTTTTATTTTTAAGAAATTATAATTTATTTTCAAACTTTTCTTTCTCTTTGGTTATACAGCAGGTAGCGTATCCCTTGGCATCCACCCCTCCCCCACCATTTCCAACAGCGGAGGAGTTTGGAGATGGGCAGAGGTGCCTGCCTGTGTGCCTGCTGCCTCATAAGCGCTCCTTCTCAGAGTGCGGTGAAGTTTTACACTAACGTCTCAAGTCATGTCACCCCAGTGTTAAGGAACACATTTTTGCAGTTATAATCCATGCGAAAAATGGCACCCACGTGTTAAAACATGAATGTTGAAATTCTGATTTAAGTATTACATTTTTACAAAAGCAATGTCTTCTGCCAGTGATAAGATTATATTTATTTTTGTAACTACTTTAAGAAGGTGGGGAAATGTGTATAATCGGAAGCCCTGCCGAGCCCAGGACACTCAGCTGCGATTCCTTTCTTGGGGAAATCCTCTAGAATTTACTCTGAACATGGCCAATTCCATGTTAGCAGAGCAGTCTGCTTCATCATTCCCCAGGTGGCAAGTAGGCTGTGCGAACCCCAGGTCTCCAGCTGAGGCGTGAGAAGCAGGGTTTGACTGAAGTCACAAAAGATTGGGTCCATTTCTACTCTTCTAAAATTTGGTTATTTTTAGAGAGTATCAAAGAGTCAGTGCAAAAGGAGAGTATCTTTCCTTGGATTCTCAAATAGCAACTAGGGCAGTGCTCCCTGCACTGTGCCTCCCGGGGGTGTGATGCATTTCCCTCTGGAGAAAGAGATAAGAATAAGTCACCCACCAAAGTGAGACCGAAATAATTGGGACTAATTAGGAGAAGGTCAATCTAAACTTGGGTAATCTGTGAATTGTTTAATTAGAAAAAACCTAGTGAAGCTTTAAGGCTTTGGCACTTTTAGGTGTGTAGAGTAACTCAGATGGAGGCCACCTGGGTCCCTGGGGTACTGGCTTTAATGAATAAATTAAAAGTATAATTAGCTACTATATCTGTACGGATGTTTTGGCTATGAAGAATGGGAAACTTGAAAAGAAGTGGCTTGACAATCAGGAACATTTATCAGGCCACGGAACAGAAGGACTCAAGCCTTCTGTGTGCGAGAGGCTCTGGGGTTGGTCCCCTCGAGCCTCGGAGAGTAGCTGGGCACCCCGTTCTTCCACTGTGTCCCTCTGTGCCTTCACCTTTGCCCTTGGGGTTGTCTCCTCATGATCTCAAGGTGGCAGTCTCTGCTGGCACACTGAGACATGTGAAATCTGGGGAGAGTAGAGAGACCGTGCCATTTAAACAGGGAGGAAAGGCTTTCCCAAAGACCCCTCTGAAAGTTACCGCCTGTCTATGCCTATCTTGTCCCTAGCCAGGGAGAGGCGACTGACCTCTGGTGGTTTACAGGAATTCAACCTTTACCTCTCGTGTCTGGAAAGGAGACCAGGCACTCCTGGATTTTTTTTTTTTTCTTTTTTTGTTGAGATGGAGCTTTGCTCTTGTTGCCCAGACTGGAGTACAGTGATGCAATCTCCGCTCACTGCAATATCTTCCTCCCGGGTTCAAGCGATTCTCCCGTCTCAGCTTCCCAAGTAGCTGGGATTGTAGGCATGCACCATCGCGGCCAGCTAATTTTTTGTAATTGGTAGAGATGGGGCTTCACCATGTTAGTCAGGCTGATCTTGAACTCTTGACCTCAGGTGACCCACCTGCCTCTGCCTCCCAAAGTGCTGGGATTACAGGCTTAAGCCACTGCGCCTGGCCGAATTTTATTTCTAAGTGAGGAGCAAGGTGAGGGTGGCTGTGAGCCAGGCAGCTGTCAGTGTCTGTACAGGATGTTTGATCTGTGCCATCTGCCCCTCCTTCATCGTGGAAGGAGAGGTCCATCCTTTCCTACCCATACCTCCCCTCCTCCCAGACGCTGGACCCCGTCCCGCTCAGAGCCTCTCAGGAACTGCGTGTCATCAGCGGCTTAATACTTCTCTTTCTCTCCTTGGTATCTTTAGCTTCTGCCATGCCCAAGTCCTTCTGGTTGGCATGTGAGCTCGTGGAAAGCACTCTTGTTATGAATAAAAACGACCTTCCCTTGGTCTCAGTCCTCTTAGAGCGTGTCTCTCTCCCCTCTCGCGTGGAGCTGGTCTGCGGGGAGCGTCTCCCCACTTTCTCCATTTTCTCCCCTCTTCTTCTGCCTGTGGTGGCACAAAACAGCTTTTCTGCTCCATGCCACCAAACCCAACACATTCCTCAGCTCTTATCACACAGGACCTTCCCCGCCCATTGGCACTCCTGGTCACTCTCTTTCAATGTTCTCTTCCTTGGGCAAGAGCCTCTTGCCAAAGAAGACTCCTGACTTCCTTTCTCTCCGGCCACGCGTTGTCCTTCTTCTCTTACGCTTCTGATCATCTCGCCAGCCATCAGATGCTGGTGTTCAGCAAGGATGAGGGCTGGGCATCTTTCCCTCTCACTCTGGACATCCTCTCTGTGATACAAAATTCTGTATCGCCATGGCATCAGTGTCTGTGACCTTCAGGAACATATGCACCTCTGCTGAATTAACGTCTCCTGTGATGTCCTAAGACACTGAAGCTCAGCAGAGGGACAGTGCAACCACAGACTTCTTCTCCTGTCCTTAGACCTTCTTCTTGTCCTGTCTCCATGTGTGAATGACACCCAAATCCACTCAGTAAGACAAAAGAAAAAGGAGGTATTCCTGAGACTGACCTCTTCCACGCTTCCGTATTCAGATCTTGGACTCTGTCACTTTTACCTCCTAAACATGTCTGGAATCTCTGCACCCCTCTCTGCCTGTGTTACCGTCGCTGTGGTCCCACCTGGCTTCCTATCTTGGTTAGATCACTGCTGTCACTCCTGCTTTGCATACACTGACCCCCAGCAACTCTGAAGCTCAGTGTTTCTTCCTGTAACAGGGCACATGCTGTTCCATGCGCTAGGCATGGTTTTTCCTTCTGGTTTTATATATTAGCATTGTTTCATCCTTCAGATTTTACATTAATAGTCAATTACTATTAAATGGTGGTCTCCCATGTTTGTTAAATACCATTGTATTCTCTTTCTGTTCCATGTACCTCTCCTTGTAGCGCCTGTCACCGTTGCTTTGTTTGTGTGACTGTTTAATTGATATCTGTCTTCCCTAAAAGACTCTCACCTTCTTGAGGGCCGTGTTTGTTAGCACTCACAATCACTTGCGTCTTCTGGCACTGTGGTATTCAGTACGGCAGGTCTCCTGGATATCCTTGCTGAATGAATCAGTGATTGACATCACATAGATTATTCTTTAAAATAACATGTTTTTGATTGACATTATATTGATTCTTAAAATGACATGTTTTAGAAAAGCTTATTTTTTATGGCATTTTAGGTTTTGGGGTACATGTGAAGAACATGCAAGATTGTTGCATAGGTGCACACATGGCAGTGTGATGTGCTGCCTTCCTCCCTATCACCTATATCTGACACTTCTCCCCATGCTATCTCTCCCCAACTCCCCCCACTGTCCCTCCCCTATTTCCCCCCTACAGACCCCAGTGTGTGATGTTCCCCTCCCAGTGTCCATGTGTTCTCATTGTTCAACACCCGCCTATGAGTGAGAACATGCAGTGTTTGATTTTCTGTTCTGGTGTCAGTTTGCTGAGAATGATGGTTTCCAGGTTCATCCATCCCTACAAAGGACACGAACTCATCATTTTTGATGGCTGCATAGTATTCCATGGTGTATATGTGCCACATTTTCCCTGTCCAGGCTATCATTGATGGGCATTTGGGTTGGTTCCTGGTCTTTGCTATTGTAAACAGTGCTGCAATGAACATTTGTATGTATGAATAGCTTATTTTTTATGTGGTTTGAGCACTCCCCATAGAGTTTTATTTATTGCGACTGCTTTTCTACATAAACTATAGAAAGGCAGTGCTCATCCAGGCTTGGTCTGGGCCGATGGGACCAGCCGCACTGAAGACAAACCTACATGTTTGCCTCGCCACGGAACTCTGTCCTTGCATTCAAGGTCAGCTGGCAAGAGCCGTTGGGTCTTTGTGGCTCATTACTAACGACAGTTCTTTTGCTCTGTGACACAGTGAGAGTACACTTCTCTACCCACTTCAACTCAGGGTGGCCATGCCACCTGCCTTCCCTGGTGACAGGTGAGTGGTTCCAGGCAGGGGCGTGAAGAGCCAGTGTGTGATTTCCCACAACGCATCTTCTCTTCCTTTGCAATCAGGAGGCGTCGGGGCCTCCATCGGTGGGTTTCCTGAGTGACTGGGGCCAGGACACCCCCGGCCGGCTGTGGCGGCATGCAGCATGCACACTTGCTTTGCTTGTTATTGCAGCCTCATCAGCCTGTCCTGACAGCTACAGAAATATAAAGGAAGTTGGTCCTGGAGGGTCGAGTCTTTGGCCACCGAACCCCCTGCTTCTCCCCAGGAGCAGAGAGAGGTTCCAGGTCACAGATTGGGACAGATTCTTGTCTTCTGCCAGTGTGCCATGAAAACTAGGAATAACCGTGGCGAGTGAGAACCCACTGCTGTGTGAGGAGTGAGGTCAGGCAGGCTGTGGAGGGCACCTGCTGACCAGGGAGCAGAGGGCCCTGAGAATTACAAAAGCACCTGCTGACCGGACCCTCTGGAGCAACCTTGCCACTCCTTATAAGAAAGATATTTCTCCAGTGTTTTACCAAGCAGGTTGGCATTTTTCTGGTGCAACCAAAGGCAAAAATGCAGAGTGGACACCATTCTGTATTTGGAGAAACTGCAGTGATTTCCCCGTCTCTAACCATAGCAGTGGTCTAAAGGTTGCACTATTTCACATGCTCTCTGATCTTTTAAAGGAGTTCGACATAAGTCGTTGACACAGTGTGCTGTATTTTCTCCCCAGAGACCAGCTGAGGTAGTTAAAGAAGATGAAGAGATACATGAGAATACCCCCGATTTTGAGGGCAACAAGGTGAGTTCATTTTATTTTGTTTTAATGGCCTGGATCTAAGGCACCTAACATATTGAACAGAGCTCACGTGTGGTGGTCAAAGGATCCGGGATCACAAGTTGGTTCTAAAGCACCAACCAGCACAGAATTGGAAGCGAGTGCCTTTCCAAGGCAGGCCGTGGCCAAGATTGTCTAGCGTGTGCTAGACAATTACATGAGTCATTTTAATCACATCTCTACCTGTCCTAATTACTTTCCACTGTACCTCTAGTCATAAACCTGAAAACTTTTTCCCAGAAAGTTTCAAGATAGTACTTTTAGTAGGGAATGTCAGGGAGGGTGAAGGAAGGCAGCAGGTGTGCAGGTGGCTGTGTGGTGTGGGCATCCGGGGTGCTGGCTTGTGTGGTTCGAGGTGCAGTGTCAGTAGCTGGTCCTGCTGGCCAGCGAGAGGGTGAGGGCTTGCGGCGCACGTGCGCACATGGCAGCGGGAACTAGCGCGGGACGCTTGGCTTGCTCTTCTTCCTATCTGGGTGTCCTGGAAACTTCCTCCACCCAGGGAGAGTGTGTCTGTGGTCCTTTATGAGATTCTGCAACTCATCGTCCACATAAAATATGTCTATTGGGAAAACAGAATTTATTTTAAATACACATTTTTTAGCTAAGAAGTAGACTTTGAGGACCTTGTTTTCAGAATTCTGTCTCTGGATCTTTATTTTTGTTTCGAGGTAGCCTCTTGGTTTTTTTTTTTTTTTTTCGAGGTAGCCTCTTGTTTTTTTTTTTTTTTTTTGAGATGGAGTCTCGCTCTGTAGCCCAGGCTGGAGTACAGTGGTGTGATCTCGGTCTCGGCTCACTACAACCTCTGCCTCCCTGGTCCTGGTTCAAGTAATTCTCCTACCTCAGCCTTCCTAGTAGCTAGTATTATAGGCACGAGCCACCATGCTCAGCTAATTTCTGTATTTTTTAGTAGAGATGGGGTTTCACCATGTTGGCCAGTCTGGTCTTGAACTCCTGACCTCATGATCCAAAAGTTGGGTCACAGGCAGGAAGCTGTGTAAATTGATCATTGCACAGGAGGCCGTGTCATGAGCTCCTGGATTCATGAAGTCTGGGAGGTGCAGTCTGAGTCTATCCTCCAGGGCTGGAAACAGGCGGGGACACTCGCAGCCCTGCCAGGAGTCACTTTTTGGTCTTAAACCTGCCCTGCAGCTTCCTGGCTGCCACCTCGAAGAATGGGGAGGAGTGACCCCCAGGGAGCTTGTGTGAAGGTGTTGGAGCCATGCAGGTCACCCCCGGTGCTTGACACAACTTGGAAAAGGGTGGTTGTTGGAAGGGATATGGGTCCTCAGGAAGTTAGTTCAGGTTTTAGAAAACACCAGAGCAGCTTCTGATCTAAAACAATGATAATACACTTGTAAGACAGCTCATTCTTCCTTCCTTATATTCCTGGATAGTTTTGGAAAGGTGTCCTGTCTGTATATGGATGAGTAGGGATGAGTAGGGAAGACTGTCGAAGAGCAAAGACAGCTTTTCCTTTCTTTGGGGATGGAGGGCAAGGCTGCGTTCAGAGAGCAGGAGTGAGTGAAGACGTTTGCCTCAGAGCATTAGGCTAAGAGGGGCAACAGGCTGCTTGCTTACCTTGCTCTCCCTCGAGGGGAGGGTGCTATTATGTGAGTGGCATATTTCAGCAGTGATATAACCCAGGCCTTCTGACTGCAGTGAGTTTCTGCTGTCTGCTGAAGACCCTGTGCACACTGGCGGTGGAATTTGTCATCTATGCCCAACTGACTTGTTACGGAAATCTACTCAGGATGCATTAGTGACTTGATAACAGCCAGTAGCAGATTTAATTTCTTAGAGTGAATCAAAATTGTCTTTCCAGCAAATCACTGGAATCCAGTGGCAAACCCAAGCACCTAGTCCTTAGGAATCTGGGCTAAGGACCTAAGCTGCGGGGGAAAACGTGATGGGGACAGCCATACCGTGGTTCTCTTGCCTAATCATTAACGACAGGAGATGGGACCGGGAGGCCTGAGGAGCACACGAAGGTATCCCGAGCATCACGGGCACCAGGCACCGTGCAGACGTTCCCACATGCCCGGCCTGTCTCTACCGCACACTCGCTCTTTAAGGAAGGCAGAGTGAACAAGATTAAAAGCAATGAGATGGGGAGTTTTGGTAGCTTGTCGGTGTCACGCAGAAGGTGATGGGTTTTGGAACTGAACCCCGTTTTGAGCGATTCCAAAGGCTGTGTTTTCCTCTTCCTGTGAACCATGCTGGTTATGTATCACTTCCCAGAAGAGGTATTTTCCGTCTCAGGCTTCACACTGTGTCCCTCGTAGAAACCATCCTTCACTGGTGCTGTGTACTGCTTCAAGGGGGGCAAGATGGCTCCAGTGTTTTAGTTCTAACAGCTCCATCTTTGCTTCTAGCGTGACTGAAACAAAACTTTGTTGCTGTGAAGCAGCCCATGGGGTTGAAGGTAATTGGCTTTAAAATTTGACCCACTTTTTGAGGACTCAAGAAGAGCAAGCACTTTATATGCGTTATAATAGCCACAATAACAATTAAAAAGAAGCAGGACTCAATCAGCCCTTGCTGGCCGGTAGCCGCAGTGAGCTTCCCCTGCTCTCAGTGACCTGTCGTTCACTTGGCATTTCATTTGTACATTCATTTGACAAATTGATCACATGACATTTATTTGATATTGATTATATTAAAATTTTTAGGCTTATGATTGCCGGCTTGACCTCCTCAAAGACAGAGATTGTGCCCTATGATCTTATGTGTCATTCAGTGTCTTATATATAGTAGGTGTTTAATAAATATCTGGATTTGCTTTCAGTTGCGTATGATGAAGTTACTTAAATATGTAACCCTGGGGTAAAATGCTAATTACCTTGCAAAGTTGTAAGAAGACATAAACATTATTTATAAATACATATTGTTCAGGCACAGTGGCTCATGCCTGTAATCCTAGCATTTTGGGGAGCTAAGGATCGCTTGAGGTCAGGAGTTTGAGACCAGCCTGGTAAACATAATGAGACCCTGTTTCTACAAAAAGTTGTGAAATTAAAAAAGTAGCCAGGTGCAGTGCTGTGCACCTGTAGTCCCAGCTCCTTGGGTAGCTGAGGTGACAGGATTGCTTGAGCCCAGGAGGTCGAGGCTGCAGTGAGCTACAATGCTGCCACTCCACTCCAGCCTGAGGGACAGAGCAAGACCAAGTGTGGAGAAAAAAACAACTACTACTATACATAGAAAATATTTCTGATGTTTGATCACAAAGGTGTTATTTTCGTGGTAAAAATACACGTGGTTTTTGTGGTGACATGTAAAGACAATTTACCATTCAGCCATTTTCAACGTGCAGTTGAGTGGCATTAATCACAGTCTCTATGTTGCACGGTCACGGCCACTGTCTGCTTCCAGCACCTTTTCATCTCCCCACACTGAAGCTCTGTGCCAACTCCCTGTTCTGTGCTGGCTCCCCGTTCCTTGCTTTGCCTAGCCCCAACTGTGTTGTCATTTGGAGCACATGAAAACAATCCCAGCTTGAAGGAGCTATTCAGATGCAAGTGTTATGATAGGGTCCTCCTCACGCCGCAGCCAGGGTGTATTTATTTCATAATTGTGTATGTCAATAGCATAGGAGCGGATGCAATCGAAATCAGAAGCAAAAATAGAACTGTGCTTTTGGATGACGCTTCGTCATCCTCAGAATACTTTAAACATGTTAATTATATGGTCATGACAATTCTGATGATATTGGGCACTGTAATAATATTTTTCATTCTTAAAAATGGGATGTTAACATTAATTTGCAAAGCTCTCCTGTGAGATAATAAAGACGAAATGTGTACATTTTCCTTTTACCTATTTAAAACTGTGTCCATTGCACACAATTTTAATTATATTGGGTGCTTGGGAACTGTCTGAATCAGGGTAAAATGGAATTTTCTCCAGTTCTTAGTGCTTGATTTGTTTGGACTCATTGATTTTAAAATGTCTTATGTGCTAACAGCACTTTTTAATTTATGCTACCTGCGAAGTTTGTAAAGCAATGTGTTAAGGTTTTGAAAAGGTTCGATCCCTTTCCAAAGCAAGATGGAAAGTACAAATGGAAATGCTGAAAAATGTATCTGCAGGCCGCATATGTAGGGCTTTCCAAGGAAGACATGAGTTTCCTCTCCTTGGAGGTCCCTCCGTGTGGTCGGTAGCCAGCTCTGCAGGGATGCCTGAGAGGAGGGGTATGCCTAGGAGCAGTCAGATATTGTGTGACTCAGGGTTTTTTCTGATTCTCAGTTGTCAACCTTTTAATAGTATTTAGGTGTTTCCTACTTTTGAAAAGGCCATATAAAAATTTCATGGGCAATTCTGTGTATTCAATAAAGAGACTGAGGGAGCAGAAGAGGGAGAGGGAGACAGAGGTCGGCTCTGATTTGGGGGTGGTGATTTTCTTCTCCTCCAAGAGCATGCTGTGCATGTTGCAGCCTCTCCGGTGCTGTGCCCGATGCCTGCTGTGCCCCTGCCTTGCCAGCCCTCACCTGCTGCCAGCACTCGCTGCAGACACCAGCCTCCTCCTTAAGGCTCTCCGGATCCTTCCACCCCAGGGAGCATCTCTTCCTCCACTCACTCCCCACAGGATTTTGTTTGTCCTTCCTGTGCTGTCCAAAGTACATTTTGGCTTTACTTAGAGCTGTTTGTGTACGTCTACTGTCTCTTCTGGATGATTTCCATTTTTTGAAGGAAAAGCCTTGACTTAATTCATTTTGGTGTAATCTATAACAGCTTTCATATCACCTTGCACACAGGAGCAACTGATCATGAGTTTGGTAAGACCCTGGAGTAACTAATCTTGAGTTTGGTAAGACTCTGGAGTAACTGATCTTGAGTTTGGTAAGACCCCGCAGTAACTGATCTTGAGTTTGGTAAGACCCTGCAGTAACTGATCTTGAGTTTGGTAAGACCCCGGAGTAACTGATCTTGAGTTTGGTAAGACCCCGGAGTAACTGATCTTGAGTTTG